TCCCAGAATGCTAAATGCCAGGCCTTCTTGCAGACCCTGCTCCAGACAGGAGCTCGGAAGAGCTTTCTCTGGGGGATTTCATCAATCCTAAAGGAAAAGGCCTAAAGATAAAAAGACATTGACAGTTCCCTAACTACATGACCAGCCAGCCCAACCTACAGCGATTGTTAAGTCAACACAGTCTTGTGTCATTCAAAGCTTCAAATGCTTTTATTGGTTTATGATAAAATTATTAAATAAAATAAAAATTTAGAGGCTGAGGATGTGACTCAGTGGTAGAGTGCTTGCCTAGCATGCATGAATCCCTGTGTTGGATCCCCAGCACTAAAGGATAAATTTTTTAACTAAGATGGAGTGGAAGCCATTAATGGAGCATGAAGTGAAATCAGGCCAATTGAACATCTAAAAATCTGAGAGCACTCAGGGTCAATGGACTTAGGGATGCTGATGCTATAGTTTAAATATCAAAAGTCCCCAAAAGACTCATGTATTAAAGGCATGATCCCCAATGTGGTACTGTGCAGAGAGGGCACCTAAAGAAGTAATTGGATCATGAAGGTAGTGATCTCATCAATAGATTAATCCATTGGAGAGTTCAGAGCTAAATGGACCTATTAGGGGGTGGGGCCTAATTGCATGAAGTACATCACTGGGTAGGGACATGGCTTTGAAGGTTATATACCGTCCCTGGCCCTTCCCTTGCCTTCTCTCCTCTCTTCTCTTCTCTTCTTTCTCCCCCTGCCCTCTCTCCTTCTCCCTCTCCCTTCTGGCTGCCATGAGGTGAGCAGCTCTCGTCCATCTTGATTTTTCTACCTTGGAACCAGCCAAATGTGGACTGAAACCAAGAGCCAAAGTAAATCTTTCCTTCCTTAAATTATTTTTCTCAGGTATTTTGCCACAGTGATAAAAAGCTGACTTAACACAGTAGGGTTGAGAGCTCTAGAGTAAAAACACAACAGAGGGTCACCCTCTGGAAGTAACCTCTTCAAATCCCAGCCTGAGTGCCCTTGGACCCAAAACCCCTGGAGCAAAAATGGGAAGCAAAGAGCATCTAAGTGAAACAAGCTGAGGCTGTCCTGGATGAGGAGTGACCTCAGATGCTGCCAGGGGATCTTCAGCTACCTCAACTAAGAGTTCACCGTTTCTTATATTCTAGTCACCAACATGGAGGGAGACGAGAACAAAGGAACCTTGAGGAGAGAAGACATGAGAGGGTACATGACCCATTCAAAAGAGGAAGGCTTAGCCGGACGTGGTGGTGGCTGTTGGTGGGGCAGAAATAACACATGAATCCCTCCCATTTAGAGGCAGGGCTGGGGATTGAACCCAGGCCCTTCACACTAAGCTACATCCCCAGCCCCCCCTCTTTTTTACTTTGGGGTGGAGTCCTGCTAAATTGCTAATTTGCCCAGGCTGGGCTTGAATTGGGATCCTCCTGCTCCCACCCATCACAGGCCTAAATGTAAAAATGTGAAGTCTTTTGAAAGCCTTTGATTTGAGAAAAGAAATCTCAGGCATCCTGCTTACTCAGGCCCACCTATCAAAGTGTTTCCCCACGTTCATCTAACCAGCACTCAGAAGCCATAGCAGTCATGGTCCAAGGGGACCTGGCTACTGCACACACTGGCAGCAGACTTTGAAGTTATCCACATAATGCTGATTTTGCAAGCATGCATAATGCAAGAATTACAGGGTCATGAAGGCTTCTACCCAGGTTTTGAAAGAAGGCCTGAAAGTACATGCCATGTGTGACTGACCATGTGTAAGTCCCAGTCGGGCTCCCTTGAAAAAGTAATGTGTGACACCATGGGTATGAGGCTGAAGTTGCACTGGAAACCCCAGGAAGGTGGAGATTTTAGGCATGTGAAATATAAACCAAGGAAAGCTGCAGGCAGTGCACAGAGCCAGCCCAAGAGAGAGGTAATGTGAGTGGCAACCAGCAACAGAGGTGAGGCCGGCTACACCCTGCAGAGATCACATCATGTCACCACATTCCCTGGATGCTGGATATGGAGATACAGGACTTAATGTTTACCCTGTTGGTTTTCTGTCCTACTTTAGTCCTGTTCCTTTCTATTCCCCTGTTCCTCCCTTTTGGAGTGGAATTGGTTAATGGTTAAATGATACCATTACATCTTGGAATTACATAAATTGCTTTTTTAATTTTACAGGAGTTCACAGATAATGGTTTGCTTTGAGTCCCAGAGGAAACTGAGCTTGGAGTATTGAACAGTGCTGTGACTACTGAGACTCTGGGAAAGGAAATAGTGCATTTTTTTTTGTTGTATGCAGTATAATTACATAATGTTAGGTAAAATTATGACTGTTGTTCTCTCGGTTAGATGTCAAGTTAACAATAGGTGGACTTGTGATGGTTAGTTAATCCTGACTGACTTGAGAGACACCTCGGAGATTTGTAAAAGACACTTTTAGGTGTATCTGGAAAGGTCATGGGGGATGACTTTGGAGGCCCGATCTGGTCCCTGGACCCTGGAAAGGTCATGGGGGATGACTTTGGAGGCCCGATCTGGTCCCTGGACCCTCCGTCTCTGGTGCTCTTCCCCTACTTTCTATTTCTTGGGTGCCATGGGTTGAGCAGCTTTCTGCTAGCATGCCCTTCTGCCATGATGCCTTGAACGTAGCTGGCCATAGACTGAAGCCATAAGCCAAAATAAGCCTCTCCTCCTTTAGGTTACTAGTATCAAGTATTTTGTCCCCAGAGAGAGGGAATTGTCTAATATACTGGCAAAGGAGTAGATGGCACAAAAAGATTGAGAATTCCACTGACTAGAGATACGGGGCAGGCAAAAAGCTCAGACTTTAAGAGAAATCACACCATTGTACAATATTTTCCATTCACCGGATGACTGGACACATTCAGTGCATTGGGGCGCTTCAGAGTTGGATTTTAATTTTCTTTTTACATTTATCTCTCCTTCCTGCCCACTTCTGCAATCACTTGTGCAAATTTTTTTTCTACCAATATGACCTCAATGACCTTCAAATGTGTCTGCTGCTGTTCTCTCTTTTTTTCTTTGCTCGTGTATCCATTGATCTGTTTGTGAGTTTGTTGATTGTCATCTTTCTGTCAAAACCTGGGATAAACACTGGGGACAGAGAAAGTAATCTGACACCATCCCTGCTCTTATGAAATTTGCCTACTACTTGCCAACAAAAATTCTGTTCCTCTCCACTATGCTGCATACCCACAACATTTCACAAGGCCTTTCCTGGTGCTATATCGGATTTCAGTTATTTCTCTGATAAAGCTCTGGTTAGCACTAAGTATTATACAAAAATGGTAGGACTTTCTAGATCATATTCTGTTATTGGATTTTGGTAAGTATGTGTCTTTGTTAATTTTGTCCTTAGATTTTAATAATTAGGCATAATTAGGTTTCATTGCCTTTTTCATTCTTGTAACTAAAAGACAGAAGGTTCCTTTTGTACTACCATAGAAATTTCCTGATTTGAGACAAACATTTTTGCTTTGAATGTATTCATTTTCTTTAAGCTTTCTACCATTTTTACCAAACTTCCCAGACTTTGGTCCTTTAATTCTTTGTTGTTGTTGTTGTTGTTGTACCAGGGATCAAATTTGGGACCTTGGATTTACAAGGCAGGCAGAAGAACCACTGAGCTAAATCCCTGGCCACTTTAATTCTTTATATCATTCACATTGTCCTGTTATATCCACTACTGAGGACCTGAAATGTTGCCTTTAATGAGCACAAGAGAGAATTCAGTCAGCCATTTTACCCACTCCTGAATATCCGGCCTCAAAAATTCTCCTAGATCTCCATATTTGCAGTGTCTTCATTCCCAATCTATCCCCATAACCAAGCCCAGATTCCCAGCCCTCTATTTCTAAGCAGTTGTTGACTGAGAACAATCCTTGTAGCAGTTTCTGTATCAGTCAGGATCATTTGTCACTAGGAAAACGTCAGTTCTGGCTTTGAAGAACAGATAAATGTATTTGTTGGCTGGTGTTCAGCGTCCACAGAAACTGACGAACACAGGCCCAGAATGGAGAGACACAGTGAAAAAGCACTAGTCCCATTAACACCCCGAAGCAGCCAGCAGGGGGCACCAGAAGCCACAGCATTGACCAGTGACATTGCCATGAGCTGAATTCCGTAGCTATGGCCGCCCCACTGCCTCAAGGAGCTGGGCTCAAGGTTGTCCACTGCACCTGCTTGTCTGTTTCCCTAAAACTTGACTCGGTGTTACAGAGAAGGAGCATCGGCTTGCTGAGCCTAAGCCATGTACACACTTGTTCTATTGCAAAGGATGCTGCACAAGAAAAAACCTGGCTTCCGTGATGGAAGGTTGGGATTCTGCAGGCACAATAAGAAGGAAAGGAGAGAAGTGAATGTTCCCCAAACAGAGTTTTAGCAGGATGAGTGTGGACACAGTGACATTCATACCCTAGCTAGGGTCTATGCAGGCCCAGGCTCTGGACGTTTTGAGAGCTTTACCAGAGGAAAGGGGTGAAGTGTGAGCTGACAATATCCAAACCAACTTTTAAGACTAAGGTGGGGTTACCACAATAACTGTCAGAATGATACACCCTAGGGGTCTGCCACTTGTCACACGCACCTAGAGTCCACTGGAATTCTTTTGCCAGAGGAATACAGAGTCCTGAGCTGTCTCTGCTCTCAGTTTTGTTTTGTTTTGGTAGGTTTTTTGTTTGGGGGGGGGGTTTGGTTTGGTTTTGTTTTTGTTTTTGTTTTGAGACAGGATCTCACTACATAGTTGAGACTGACCTGGAACTCACTATGTAGCCCAGGCTGGTCTTGAACTCACAGTGATCCTCCTGCCTCAGCCTCCTGAGTGCTGGGATTACAGGCGTGGGCCACCATGCCCGGCTCTCTGCTGTCAGTTTGAAGACCCTGTTGTAGACCACCTAATCACACTTCTTTCCAGCCTGGACCATGTGACCTTTTTTCTCACTGTTTAAGGAGGAGCCCGTCCTCACTCTCTCATTGGTCTGTGAGTTCACCTCCCCTGGGTAGAGGTCCAAGGACCAAAGAAAGACTGGTTTCCTGTGCAGATTTCCCCACTAGGTACAGCAGTAACAATGTTGCCTGTACTGTTGTCCCTGCCGTTCCTTCTGGGTCCAGCAGTCCAAGAGATTCCAGGAGCTGGTGAGTGAGCACAACAACGGGAATTGCTTGAGAATAGAGGGAGGGCAAAGAAAAAGATAGGGCAGGAGAAGGACTCCAGTATGGCTGGAGGTAACCGGTTTCCTGTAGTAATGTGTATGCACACCTGTCAACTAGTTCACCTCACGCTTCTGGAAGTATTTAGGGAGCCTCTGAACATATACTAAGTAAGAACTTAAAGAATCTGAACCTAAAACCCAGATTTTTAAAAAACTAAAACCCATAAAAGCAAAGATATCTGCCTGGGACCAAACAGCACAATGGAGCAGAATCCACACAGAGAGCTTCTTCTGCCCTCGTTCCTGGCGTCCTTCCCATAGATGGTCACACCTGTCTGCAGACGGTGGTGCAAAGTCAGGTTACCAGCATGGAGAATGTTAGAAGGAAATGCAAGCCCTCACCCCACAGTCAGACAGTGAGCACGGAAGGTGAGGGACTGAAGGATAAAACAGTGCCGGCTCAAGGAGCTCTAGAGTCAGTTCTAGGACAGGGAATGAAGCTGTCTGTGACAAACTAGCAAAAAGATGGAAGCTAGTGACTTCTAAACTGCCAGTTTAAAATCTGTGACTTGTGGGGCTGTGTAAAAATTAATCACATTTAGAACGTCAAGCACATTCCACACCAAAATCTGTATTAGCTGGGAATTTCCAGAGAATCAGAGTGCACAGATGATAGACAGAATCAATAATACAGTATGTTTAAATGTTTTAAGTATTACAGTGAGACATTACAATTAACACCCCTCAAATACTACCCCTCATGTCAAACACACTCATCCCATCACCCTTGCTACTTTCTGAAGCAGTTCTGGAAGTCTTCTTTCATGAGCATCTTTACTCACACTGTTTACTTACACTGCCTCAAGGCCTTGAATCAATTTAAAATGTTTACCTTTATTTAAAAGGCTATCTTTCCTCCAGCGAGGATGGTTGGCTCCTTTATCAAACATGAGGTAGCTGAGTGTGTCTGGTGTTGTTTCTGCATCTTCTAATCTATTCCATTGATCCTTGGGACTGTTTCTTTGCCAGTTCCATGCGGTTTTCATCACAGTGGCTTTGTAGCATAATTTGAAGTTGGGAATTGTGATACCCGCTCTTATGTCTATTTTGCCTAGAATGGTTTTTGCTATTCCGGGTCTCCTCTGATTCCAAATTAAATTTTTTAATTGTTTTCTGTTGTTCTGTGAACTATAATGTTGAGATTTCACTTGGGATTGCATTGACTCTGTATAGCAGTTCTGGAAGTATGGCCATTTTCACTATGTTGATTCTTCCTACCCAGGAGCAAGAGATATCTTTTCATCTTCTTATATCCTCTTCGATCTCTTTTTTCAGAGCTCTATAATTTTCAATGAAGAGGTCTTTTGTCTCCTTTGTTAGATTAATTCCTAGATATTTCATTTTGGGGGGTGTTATTGTAAAAGGAATTGTTTCCCTAATTTCTCTCTCAGTGAGTCTCTTATTTGTGTAAAAGAAGGCTATGGATTTTTTTAGTGTTGACCTTGTATCCAGCTACTTTGCTGAATCTGTCAATTAAGTCTCGAAGTCTTTCGGCAGAGTTTTTTGTGTCTTCAATGATGAGTATCACATCATCTGCAAACAGTAACAGTTTAACTTCTTCCTTTCCTATCTTTATTGCTTTTATTTTTTTCTCTTATCTAATTGCTGTTTCTAGAACTATATTGAACAGGAATGGTGATAGCAGCCATCCTTGTCTTCTTCCTGATTTTAGCATGAAGGTTTTCAGCTTTTGACCATTTAATATGATTTTGGCTGTTGGTTTTTCATACATAGCCCTTATCAAGTTGACATAAAGACCATCTATTCCAATATTCCGCAAGGTTTTTATCATGAATGGGTGTTGAATTTTGTTGAATACTTTTTCTGCTTCTATTGAGAGAATCATATGGTTTTTGTCCTTGACTCTGTTAATATAGTGTATTACATTTATTGATTTACATATGTTGCACTATCCTTGCACCTGAGATAAACCCAAGTTGGTCAGGGTGTATAATCTTCTTGATGATCTTCTGTATTCTTCTGTATGCCAGTATTTTACTGAGGCTTTTTGCATCTATGTTCGTGAGGGAGCTTGGCCTGTAGTTCTCTTTTTTGGTTGGGTCTTTCCCTGGTTTTGGAATCCAAATAACACTTGCTTCCAGGAATGAATTTGGAAGTATTACTTCCCTTTCAATTTCACTGAAAAGTTTACAGAGTAGTGGCAATAGTTCTTCTCTAAATGTCTTGTAGAATTCAGGAATGAAGTCATCAGGTCCTGGGCTTTTCCTTTTTGGTAAACTTTTAATTACATTTCCAATATCACTGATTATAATTGGGGTGTTTAGACTATTTATATCTTCTTTGTTCAACTTTGGCAATTCATATATATCTAGAAATCTGTCTTTCTTCTGTGTTTTCCATTTTATTAGTGTATGGGTTTTCAAAGTAAGTAATGATGATCCTCTGGATTACTGCTGGATCTGTTGTGACCACCATTTTAATTTCTAATTGCATGAATTTGAGCCTTTTCTTTCCTTTTTTTGATAAGGTTGGCTAAGGAATTGTCAATTTTATTTATTCTTTCCAAAAACCAATTCAATTCATTGATTTTTTTTGTATTGTTCTTTTACTCTCCATTTCATTGATTTCTGCTCTGATCTTTACAATTTCCTCCCTTGTATGAGCTTTGGGTTTTTCTTGATCTTCTTTTTCTAGAAGTTTAAGATTCACAATTAGGTTGTTTATTTGAGCTTTCTCTGTTTTCCTAGTGTGGGCATTCACTGCTATGAATTTCCCACATTAAACTGCTCTCATTGTGTCCCATAGATTCCTGCATGTTGTATTGGCATTGTCATTAAATTGTAAAAACTGTCTAATTTCTTCTTTAATTTCCTTTGTGACCCATTGGTTGTTCAGGAGAGTGTTATTCAATTTCCATGTGTTTGTGAACTTCTTACAGTTTTTTATGCTATTAATCTCCAGTTTAATTGCACTATGGTCTGATAACATACATGGGATAACTTCAACTTCTTTGCATTTACTTAAACATGTTTTATGAATTAGCATGTGATCTACTTTGGAGAATGACCTGCGTGCAGCTGAAAAGAATGTATATTCTAATTTTATGAGTTGGAACACTCTGTAGAGATCTATTAAGTCCATTTGTTCAAAAGCTTGGTTCAGTTCCAGTATTTTATTGCTCATTTTTAGTCTAGATGATCTATTTGTGACAGTGAGGTATTGAGACTCCCCCCACTACAATTGTATTAGTGTTTATTTGTTTTTTCACATCCCTATATATTTATTTTGTATAGTTGGGGCCATTAGTGTTGTTGCATATATATTTATGATTGTCATCTCTTCCTTTCAAATTGTTCCTTTTTCAAGGATGTAGTGACCTTCTTTGTCTCTCTTAATTAGTTTTGCATTGACATTTACTTTGTCTGCAAATTAAATACCTACCCCTTCTTTTTTCCAGGTTCCTGTATTGTCATGTTGTTTTCCTGTTGTTGGTTCTTTTTTTATTTTTCTCCCTCTCCCTTTAAATTCTTGTCTATTGAATTTGCTTTGTTGGGCTTCATGGAATTTTGACCTTCATTGTCTTTTTCTAGGATATTTTTTTAAATTGTTTGGAGTGCTGGTTTGGTATTCATGAAGTTTCTCAGGGGTTCTTTGAATGAAAGTATCTTATTTCTCCACCAATTTTGAAAGATGGTTCTGCAGGATACATCAGCCTAGGTTGGAGGTTGTTTTCTTTTAAAGCTTGAAATACCTCACTCCAGGCTCTCCTTGACTTGAGGGTTTGTGTTGAAAAGTCTGCTGTGATTCTGATGGGCTTTCTTTTGCATGTAATTTGTTTCTTTTCTCTAACTGCTTGTAGTATTTTGTACTTCTTTTGGGTTTCTGGGATCTTGACTACTATAAGTCTAGGTATATATATATTTTTTGTCATAACTAGTTGGAGTCCCATATGCCTCACTTGTCTGTACATCAAGTTCATTTGTTCTGTTTGGAAGGTTTTCTATCATTAATTCTATGAACAGTTTTTTTTACATCATTTGTGCTTTCTTCTGTTTTTTCATAGACCCCTGTCAATCTTATATTATTCTTCTTTGAGTCATCTAGGAGCTGTTGGATTGATTTCTCATGGTCCCTCACTATTTTTAAGAGATCTCTCTTTACACTGTCACTAACCACCATCCTGTGTTCCTATATCTGATAGTCTGTCTTCAAATTGGGTTAGTCTGCTATGTATACTTGCAATAGAGTTTTTAATCTCCTGGGTACCAGTTTGAATCTGTTTCATGGATTTCATTTCTTTCTTATGTTGGGCATTCATGGTTTCCATTTCTTTCCTTGCTTAGCATTCATGGTTTCCATTATGGTCCTGAACTCATCTATTTTAAATTAACTCAGGACATCCAGGCAGGCATGACAGGGCAGCTAAAGATACTCACAAAAGGGGACTTGCCATTCAACAGTTCAAGTCAGAACATTAATTCAAATATCCAAAAGGCAAATTCCTCAGAGTTCTGAGCCTATAAAATAATAATAAATTATCTACTCGATATATTATGGTGGACCAGGCACAGGGTATACATTCCTATTCCAAAAGAGAAGAATAGGCAAGTAGAAAGGAGTAACTGACTCAAAGAAAGGCCAAAATCCAACAGAGCAGACCTGAAATCCTAGAAGTACATGCCTGCCATCCTGTGCTGTTCTCCCCCTAGTAATGTGTGTGCGCTCCACCTAGTTTTGTTGGACACCACCCAGATGGGTGCTCTCTGGAACCTCCAGTTGACATTGGAACCTTTCCCTGGTGGGGGTGGCATGACTCTGGTTGTTCTCTCATTCTGAAGTCTCTACTGAGGCTTAACTGCCACATTGACTTAAATTTTAATCACATTTAACAACTAATTAGCAAGAATAATTTCAGTACTTGAACTAGGAATCTGCCATATGACCCCAATATTATTAATACCCAGGTGAGTTATATTGTGGACTAATTATGGGATTAAGTATCAAAATGTTCCATTCTTCCAGTTCTTACCTTTTTCCAAAATGCAAAGTACAGCTCTAGGAATTCTAACATCCATTCTAGTCTTACCCTGTGCTGATCTGTCTGGATCATTTTTTAGTTTTTCTAGTAATTCTCCTTCCCACACCTTCTAACTATATGTATATGTCAGGTTAAACTGGGCTATGCTTTAATGATAAATAAAATTTTAGTGATTTACCCAACAAATTTGGATTTCTCACTCATATCAAGGTCAGTGCAGATTGGGCAACTTTTATCTCCTTGGTAAGGTGACCAGGGGATCCAGACTTTTTGCATTTTGAGACTCTTCCAATTTATCCTGTGGCCTCCATACTCGTCATTTGCATTAGCTTCCCATCACTGGGTTTATTTTGGCTCATGGCTGCAGAGGTGTCAGTCCACAGTCATTTGGCCTCGTTGCCTTGGGACCAGTAATGAGGCAGCATGGCATGGTGAGGAGCAGTGGCAGAGGAAGCTATTCATCTCATGGAAGCCAGGAAGAAAAAAGAGAGAGGAAGTGCTAAGGGTCCCAAATTCCCTTTAAGGGCACATCCCCTGATGACATAACTTCCTGCATTCCACTAAGCCCCAATTGCTAAATGTTCCTCCACCTCCAACTCCCAATAGTTGGGAGTTGGCAACCAAGACTTTAGGCTGGCAACCAAGACTTTAATACATGGGCCTTGGGAGGTACTAATCCAGACCACAGCATCCCCTAAAAGGAGACAGTATCTCCTAAAAGGAGAGACAGAAGGGGTAAGCGAGCGCAGGGCCTTCGACCAGGAGAAAGACATCACTTCCCTTCCATTCACATTCCCTTTGCCAGAACTGGGTCACATGGTCCCAAAACATTCACAAGGAGGCTGAGAAATATTATCTTATGTGCCAGTCATAGGACACAATGTACTGAAGACACAGAATGATCTCTGAAAAGTCACCCCAGAGCAAATAGGGTGCTCTTTCACTCACACAGCCTAATGTGAGCTGGACAGTTGAATAGATAGAGCTGGAGAGGAAGAGGCCCAGAACTAGGTGTTCCATCGTATCCCTCTGCAATCCCAATGGTTTTTCCATGCCGGTACCTCCCCCTCAGAGTCTTCTTCTCTCTTGCAGGTCCTTATTCTCTGACCTTTCTCTACATAGGGCTGTCCAGGCCCAGTACAGCCCTCCCCAGATTTCAAGCCACTGCATTCCTCAATGACCAGGCCTTCTTCCGCTACAATAGTGACAGCAGGAGAGCAGAGCCCCTCGGACCATGGAGACAGATAAAAGTAATGGAAGACTGGGAGAAGGAGAGCCAACTGCAGAAAGCCAGGGAGGAAATCTTTCTGGAGGCCCTGAAAGACATCATGGACTATTACAAGGACAGAGAAGGTCAGTGAACTGTGGACCACTAGAGCGATCTTACCACAAGAGAGAGCCCACATGCATGAGTGAAAAAGGGTCAGGAGGATGGAACTATTCCCACCCCTAAAGAAGGAACAGGAGGAGCAAGTAGAAATGCACAGATAGATCTGTGTCCCCCACCCTACAGCACGCATGATTCCTCCTTCCCATGGCGTCCCTCACCTTCACCCCAGAATTCAGCTCACACAGGAAGTGAGGTCAGAATCACTTCCCATCCCTGCCACCTCTTGTTTCTTGCCTTCACACCCCCAGTCATCTGAGGCTGATCCCACTCCAGAAGGCATCAAGATTCACCAGTGGGTGGAGAGCAACCCAACCTTAGAATCAGTCAAAGCTAAGTTCATTTGGTGGCTCCACCAGTCATTACCTGTTCGATGCTTTGAAAGTTTAACTATATGATCAGACACTGCAAAAGCTGGAACATTAAAACTTATCTCTAAAAGAGTCTGTAAAACTTATGAACATAGATTCCATAAAGGATGTAACAGCCTGCTTGCTCTCACCTGCAGCCCTTTGGCATAGGACAGAGGCAGACAGTAATATCGGCTCAATTGAAATATGTTGAATAAATAGAAAGAAAGTATCTAGGGGCTGGGGATTTAGCTCAGTGGTTCTGCCATCTGCTTCACAAGTGCAAGGACCTGAGTTCAATCCCTGGTACCAAAAAGAAAAGAAAAGAAAGAAAGAAAGTATCTAGCACGAAGCATAGCCTGTATTGGGAGCTCCATAAGAGCTAGGTTCCAAACCACAAACTGCTAGAATTGCATGGAATCATAAAGTTTTTTCCATCCCATAAGGAGCAGACAAAAGGGTTTCATCTGTACTTGAGGTGACAGAGTAGGTGGCAGAACCAGAAAGATACAAGTTCTGTGTCCCTTGAAATTCACTACCTACTCCCTGCCCCAATGCAGTCAGTCTCAGGTATGGCGAACTGTTGATGTTAAATTATTATAGGATAAGAGTCCAGATGTAGGTTTCTGAGTACAAAAATGCCCATAAAGCTTCATGGAATCTGAAAGCTTTCAAAAGGAGGTAAGAGTTGTGTAGAAATCTTAAGTATATGGAATAGGAAAAATGGCCTGGGGTGGGTGTCAGAAGTAGGAGCAGGGAGGACACTGGTGCCTGAGAAGGACATTGGAAGAACTTTTTTTTTTTTTTTTTTTTGTAGGTTAGAATAGAAACACCAGGATACAAAAGATTTTCTCAACATGTGAAAATTTTTTTTTTTTTTTTTTTGGTATGGGGATCAAACTTGGGACCTTACACTTGCAAGGCAGGCGGTGAAACCACTGAGCTAAATCCCCAGCCCTTGGAAGAAATTGTGATTGGCTGAAATGGGAACATTAAAATGATCCAAGAGTGATGTGCACACCTGTAATCCCAGCACTGGGGGAGTCACAGGCAGAAAGGTCACAAGTCTGAGCCTAACTTGGGCAATTTAGTGACTTAGCAAGGTCCCGTCTCAAAATAGAAATTAAACAAGGGCTAGAAACATAGGTCAGTGCAAAAGCCCTGGGTTCGATCCTCAGTACCACAAAAACAAAATTTAAGTTAGTGATTACCATTAAAGAAGATGAAAAGATAAAGAGATGGGCACAGTGTGTTCAAAAATAATGGTATAGTAACTGACATTTATTGACCATTTACTATATACCAAGTATAGGTATTAACGCACCTAACTGCCCACAATAACCTCCTAAATAGTACGACTATGATGTCATGAGAAAGTAAAGCATAGAGTGATAAGGCTCGAGTTTCTGCGACAGGCCAGGTTGGGTGGTGAGAGATCTGGGATTTATGAGAAGCTCAGTTGAAAGCGATCAGAGCCTGTGCCAACAGACATTTTAGGATCAAGTAAACACTTACTTTGTAACCAAACTTACCTGCCCCAGAGAGATCAGTTTCTGAGACTTGTTGCTCATGGGCAAGGTTTTAGAGATTTGAAGTAAAAATACCAACCACCAGAAGCTGGGTGTAGTGGCACACACCGGTAATCCCAGCACTTGGGAGGCTGAGGCAGGAGGATCGCTGCAAATTCTAGGCCAGCCTGGACTACATAATAAATTCAAGTCCAGTGTAAACTGCACAGTGAGACCCTATCTCAAAATGAAGAAAGAACGGAGGGAGGAAGGGAGGGAAGAAGGAAGGAAGGAAGGAAGAGAAGGGAAAGGAAAGGAAGGAAGGAAGAGAGGGAGAACAAAAAAGAGGGAAATAATCAAATTATATTTACTTAAGTGGTGATATGAACTCTACTTAGAACTAAGAGAAGAAATCCCATAATCTATATGAAACCACAAATAATTTCTTTTGAATTTAGCAAAGCACTCCATTGCGGTTCCAATGAGTTCCTAAGACTGCACCATTTATTCAAACAAATAAGTGTCATTAAATGAGTGAATGCAAGCCAGGTGTGGTGGCGCACGCCTGTAATCCCAGCACTTGGGAGGCTGAGGCAGGAGGATCGCTGTGAGTTCAAGACCAGCCTGGGCTACATAGTGAGCTCCAAAAATGAGTGGATGCAGAAAGGTTAAAAATCATCCATAGTCTGTGTCGCTCTCAAGTTCCCTGGATGTGAAGAATGTATCTCATCTCAGCCTGACGTGAAATGCTAAGCCAAACAAGTTTGTCTCTGTCCGCTGTGTATCTGGCTAGTAACCTATTTGCCAAGATAAAGGGATCACATGATGAGGTTTCCAAAATCTTTCTTCTTATTCGGTTGCAAAGGAAAAAGAGCTGTACAGGAACAAAAGTTACTCAGCTGGAGATGGCACCAGGCTGACTAACTCCTTGTGGGATTGGGGGAGGCTTCAGGGTCTCACACCTTTCAGGGAATGTTTGGTTGTGAGATCCGGAATAACAGAAGCAGTAGAACCATCTGGAGATATGCCTACGATGGACAGGACTTCATCGAATTCAACAAAGAAATCCCAGCCTGGGTCCCCTTGCACCCAGCAGCTCAGAAAACCAAGCAGAAGTGGGAGGCAGAAAAAGCCTACCTGCAGCGGGCAAAGGCCTACCTGGAGGAGGAGTGCCCCAGGATGCTGCAGAGGTACCTGAACTACAGCAAGGCTCACCTAGATCGGCAAGGTACTCACTGCTTCCTGTGGTCTGTTCCCAGGACTGAGCTGAGGGAGGCCAAGGTGATCTCAGGATGGGAACTCAGAGGGACAGCTCAGGCTGCTCCCACCCACCAGGGGAAGTCCTTTAGTGGCCAGCTTTCCCTTCCTAAGATTCATTTTCCCCGCTGGGAGGACACGATATGGGATCCAAAATGAAAGCTCATTCATGTCGGGTGATATTCAATGGCAGATTTTGCTAATCCCCAACTGACAGACAAGGGAGCGAGGGGTCAGAGAGGTTAGCTTCACACTGTCCATAATAAATAGAATTGGGACTCACATTCCTTATTTGAGAACTCAAATGCAGTAGTCATTTCCGTCTACACCAATGCCTTTTATCTTGCTTGTGGAGAGAAGGCAGGTGTATAAAATGGCTATCCTGGATGAACAAGCAAGCATGAGCAGAACTGCATGCCAAAGGCTAAAGCTTTGACTAGAGAAGTAGAGAAAAGTAAGACTTGCAAATGATCCGGGAAGAGTTTGACTCAGGCAGACCTAAGGAGCTGGGCTGATATTCAGAAAAGAGAGGTGCAAAACCCACTGAGGTTCGGGGTTAAATAAGGAAGTGTGTGGAGCGTTCACAGTTTGTTGTCATCAAAAGTCAACCCACTGAGGGGTGGGTGCAGCAGGAAAGTAAGAATCCTGTGAACCAATACGAAAGGCTCAGGGAAAGGCTTTCCCCGGGCTTCCCAGAGATTTCTTGATGGAACCAATGCAGAGCTCAGAGCTCTGCAGATGGATGGCATCTAGAAAGCCAAGGTTGGAAGAAGCACAGGCAGGGACACAGCCACTTCAAGCTTTAATGTCCACACTTTATCCCTCCACAGATTCTCCCTCTGTGTCAATCACTGGCTACTCGGTTCCAAGAGGAAACAAGACACTCAAATGCCTGGCCTATGACTTCTACCCACAAGAAATTGGTCTGCGCTGGATCCAGGCTAGCAAAAAGCAGGAGTCTGAATCAAGGATACATGTTCTTCCCAGTGGGAATGGCACTTACCAGGCCTGGGTGGTGGTGGAAATCTCCCCTGAGGATAGAGGTCCCCACTACTGCCTTGTGGAGCACAGTGGACTGGCCCAGTCCCTCACGGTGCCATGGGAGGAGAAGCAGAAAGTTGGGGTTGAAGGCAATGTAAAGACTCAGTCTCAGTAGTCCCCCTTTCTGCCTGATATAGAGAAGTGAACTTTAGCATTCATTGCCAGTGGCCCCAGCAAGGTGCTAAGGAAGCAATGAAAATCTAGGTGGTGGGTTTGGAGACTGAAGACTTGAGCACCTGGCCCTGAGCTCACTCTCAGGGCCAAATTACCTTGCCTTATAAAACTCTCTGACATCTAATCTGTAAAATCTCACTCAAATTAATCCCCTTGTCTACCACAGCAGAAAAGCGTATTTCTAAACTATGAAATGCTGCAAAATGTCTGTTGGTTTTATTATTTCCACAAGCATTTGATGCATCTGAAATTCTTCATGTCCACTTGAAGCAATGTTTCAACCTTAGGCATCTTGAACTTGGGTACGTCAAGCATGAATTGAACATAATTCCTTGAGCATTGTTCAGGTGTCCATTTGTGGTGTCCATAGATGTATGCAAAGTCCCTCTGGAAACCCAAGCATCTTCTGTACCTCAGTTTCCCCGTAACTCCCTCTTTTCCCATGAGATAACCGCTCTCCACCCCATCTACTCAATCTTACCTATACGTGTTGGCTCTGGGATACACAGCCAGAGCTTGTGTGAGCGGCCCTTCTTCTTCAGCACACACTCCCAAGGAAGTAGGAATCCACCTTGAGGTTCTTGAACACCTTCCAAGTCCACTTTAGAATGTTTTAGTCACCCACTTCCAGATGACACCCAAAGACAACTTAACTCTGACACCTGATCTTAAGCCTTATCTACCTATGACTGTTGTTTCTCCTTTTCTCTGAGACAAGAACTTCTTTTGAATCCGATCCTCTGCTTCCCATTCTGGATGACTCCAAAATTAGTCCTTCACACTCAGCTGCTGACGGAAATCATTCCCAGTCTCCAGAATTCTGTGTCAACACCCTTATTTTTCTTGAAAGCCGAATCATAAAGATTATATCACTTTTGTTAATACTTTGACTCCAATTTAAAAATCAATGCAGAGAAATTATATATCTCATATACATGAAAACCATGTTCTTCTTTTCTGGAACAAAAAAAAGTTCTATTTGAACAGTAGAAAGCCATGGGGAAGAAAATTAAGTCAAGAAGGGAAAATATAGCCATTAATATTTCAAAATATGATAACATAGTGAACAAATAAAAAGTAATAGGTAAATAGGTAAACATTTTAGCTCAAAGAGGAAGCCAGAATCAACACAAGCAGACCAGGGCTGAAATATAAGATCTGGCTCAACCTGAGAGAGAGGTGTGGGTGGACAACATGGGAAAAAACTCAGAAGACCAAGTTCTGGCCAGTATGGGGGAGGAGGAGATGGACCTGGAGCTACTCAGACACCTGGAGAAAGCTTCCTGAAGGGGATCATATTTCAGGGGTGTAAGGCTTAAGGCAGAAGCTTTCCCTTAGCTACTTGAGAGGGTTAGAAGGGATTCAGACAACTTGACAAGCTTAATGAACTGAGGGTGAGGCTTGGCCCTGGGCATCGACTGGACACACCAAGAAGATAGATTTAGAGAACCAAATGTGGGTTCTTCCACAGCCACTTCCTGAACTCCAACAAAGCACCACTAACAGATTCTCTCCTATGAGTAGGACCAACTTCAAATGTAAATGTTAACATTATTTCCCCTTTGCTAGTGCAGTAGTAGCAAAGATGGGAAGAATTTCTCAATCAGATACCAAGATAAAATAACATCAGAATATATGTACAGAGCCGGTGTGGTGGTGACACCTGTAATCCCAGCACTTGGGAGGCTGAGGCAGGAGGATCACTGTGAGTTGGAGACCAGCCTGGGCTATATAGTGAGTTCTGGGTCAGTCTCAACTATACAGTGAGACCCTGTTGCAAAAAACCAAAAAAACAAAAAAATGTATGTACAGTCATCTCAATATAACCAAATAGCAACATAATATTAAGACTGTGGCCTTGGGTCAAATGTCTCCCTTGACACCATGAGGAGGGGCCCCCCAGCAGTTGCCCCCCAGCAATTCATAGGTCCCCACACACTCACACCTTTGTTCACACTGTGCGTGGACAGACTCTCTGGGGAACATGTATTAGATACGTGGTAAAGGAAACGTGAGAGTTTAGGGTCACCCCCAGATGTTTTCAGTCTACACCCTCCCCATTAGCTGGAGTTTGAATCATAGGCCAAATGCTACCAGTTTTGACCTGAAGCAGATTAGTTAAGATCCCTGTCTATAATACTGTTCTAATACTAGTACCCCATCTATAACACTATTTCATAGAACCGTCGTCAGAGTAAATGGGTTCACACAGGATGGGTGTTTAGAACGATATCGCCGGGCAATAAATGCTCCATTGACATTTGTTGATTTTTCTGCGCTTTGATACCCACCACACTTGACGCTGTCTTGGGGCCATCAGCTGCCGCCTCTCAGCGTGCAAATGCGCCTGCGGCTCCCACCTCAAGAACACAAACAAAACTCCCTGCCCTTCCGTCCTTCTGTCTATCTCTCCTTCCATTCACAGCCAAGCCTATTGCAAACATGATTCTCACTCGTTCATTCGCTCTCTTTTTTCCCCCTCCCACTCACTTATTAATTCCTTGAAATTAGCTGTCTCCAGCCTGCCGCTCAAACTACACCACTCACACCACAGGCCCTTCACAGTTGGATTTTGCCTTCGCTGGGCATTTCCAGCCCTGATCACTCCACTCCTGAACCCTCCTTTCTTGGGTTTCAGAACACTTGCTGCTCCTCCCCCTGATCTATGCCTTCCTCCTCATTGGGCCCACTCCCTAAATGCCGCTGTTCCTTGGGCTGTGAGGCTACCCTCTCCCTCACCCCATTCCTCCCGCACTCTCTGCCTAGGGAAGATGGCTCCTCAATGAAGATCCTAGTCTGGGCTTGCATCTTGAGCTCAGGCTTTAGAAATTCAGCCAAACATGGTGGTGCAAGCCTCTCATCCTGGCACTCTGGGAGGCTGAGACAAGAAGATCGCAAATTCAAGTCCAGCCTGAGCAACCTATTAGCAATTTAGCAGGTTCCTGGCTCAAAATGAAAAACAAAAAATAAAAAAGCTGGGGATGTAGCTCAGAGTGAAAGCCCTAAATTTAATCCCAGTAGCAAAGGAAAATAAACTCCATCTGCCATGAGCCGTTTCTACTGAGCAATCTGCCAGGTACTTCCTAGGCTTACGAAACCTGCTCAAGGAGCAATCGAATTCTCTGGGCTCTTGAGCCCTCACTCATTATGTGCAGGATCTTAAAATACTTTTTGGGAGCCAAAGTCGGATTTCCTTGTTAGGCTAGTGGGACAGAACCGCCGGCCCTCAGCCGAGAAAAACTTTCACTTGCAGTTGTATGAAGTTACCACCAGGTGGCACCCTGTATCCTGCCAACAGATTCCTGAGGGTTCAAGCAGTTTTAATATCCTGTGGGAAGAATGTTTTAAATTCACTTTCAGCAATTTCCACGAATACAGTACCTTATTATTAACTTCACTAACCACGCTGTCTAGAATTTATTCGTCACGTCTAAGACTGTACCAACATCTTCCCATGCTAAACAACTAATGATTCATAAGTAAGATTTTGGGGAGACTCCAGGCCAGGCGGATGGCTTGTCTGTCCTATGGATGTTAGGGTCAAAATTCTTGAGCATGCCTAATATGCCATTGATTCAGGTTGGCGATGCCATCGGTGAGGGGTTCTCGGCTCTTCTTTCTCATATCCAGTGGGCCATGGCAGTCTATTTGCCAAAAACAGAAAATTTCCCCATCTTTGAACATTTATTTTTTTATGGCAATACTGAGGGTTGAGCCCCTGAGGATGGAACCCAAGATCTTTACAATAAACTGTATCTCCATTGTTTTCTTTTTTTATTTTGAGACAGAATCTCGTTAAATTGCCCAGGCTGGGCTCAAACTTGGGATCCTCCTGCCTCGGCCTCTAAGAGTGTTGGGATGACTGTCATGTATCACCATGCCTGGCTTGAAAGCTCTTCTACTGTTAAACCCTGAATGTGAAACCCGCCCCCTTTAAAGAATGTACTGCCTTCCAGAGGTCCCTTCTGTGCTTTTCTCCCCAGACCAGAACTCAAGGCTGCAGGTGATTCCTGGAGCATCCTTCTCAATTCCTGTTCTTCAGACAGCTAAAGGAGTAAGAGTAGACACTCTGCCCATTTGTATTAGCTTTCTAAGATGGTCATAGAAAACAGATCAGGTGACTGAAACAGAAAGGAAATTTACTGGGCTGGGGATTCTGCTCAGTGGTGCTGCCACCGGCTGAATTCCATTCCCTGATGCAAAAGGGGGGGGTTACTTTTTATATAAACTCAGAAATAGATTGTGGGTGACAGAGGAGTGGATGGGGGAGTATATTAGTAGGAATATTATTTAAAGATTAACAAAACAAATGGGAAAACTGCAAGAGCATCACTGCAGGCCTGGGACAGGGCTGCTGTGACCTCCCTTGAAGAAAGGGGTCTGGAGTGAGGACCAGGAGAGGGGCAGACACCCCTGCTGATGGAAACCCATGCCTCCCTGCCTGTGCTGCCCCTAGCACTCCTTAGCCCTTTTTTCCCTGCACAGGACCCTGCAATTGGGCCCTGCTGACCAGCCCTGACATCTCAGTCTGAGGCTCTGTCGCTCACTTCCACATGGAGCCACGCCGTGGCAACCTCTGACTCCTGCTCCGTCTTTTCTGGGTCCCTTCACAACCTTTCTCCCAATACATCTCTTGCACGATGACTGTTTTATTTTGCTGTTTTCTTCTCAGAGCGCCCCAACACAGTATCTTTATTGGGATCAGAAGAAATGTTAATATCCAAATCTGTGCCACATAATAGTAGAACATGGATTAATCCATGACTGGCCCTGGAACCCAGATACTTTTATAGGATCAGCTTTTGAGACAAAAATCCCAACACGTGAAAAACAGGTGGGACAGAGAAATCAACTTCTAAAGCGCACCAATTTAAAATAAACATTTAATCAGCTATTTCCCCAGTCTCTAATATCCACTTCTAACTAAACAGACTTTTTGCACTGCATTTCATCTTCTAAGTAGACTTCTAGTCTCTAAGGAACACTCTCTGGGGAATATCTTCCCCTAAAATGTGTTTCATTCGGGGGCTGGGGTGTGACTCGGTGGTAGAGCCACTTGCCTAGAATGTAAAGCTTCCATCCCCACCACCACAAGAGAAATAAAACTGTCTTTCTAGTTTCCAAACAAGGCTTTGTGGTTTTCATTACTAAAAATCTGTCTGAGGTAGCTTCATATGGAGGCTCAGAGCACAAACTAGTCTAGAACTAGTCAGTTCAGGTAGCACTAGGCTCCTCCTAATTCTATTGACCCTGCATGGTCTGTTTATGCTCTTGTGCCTCAGTTTTTTACACCTGTAAAACTGGGTGACCATATTACTACTTACCCTCTAAGTTGATGATGAGTTTGAAAAGATAATGCACATAAAGCATCTGGCATTAGTAAGCACACAGGGGTTTTTGTGGCTATTGATTATCACTCTGATTCGCCCATGATATGAATCAAAGCAACTGAAATGATGCTGTTTGAAGGGAAATATTACACAACATGGTATGAAATTTTATATTTTCTAGTGACCACATTTTTGAAAGTAAAGAGCTGGGAGTGTAGCTCAATGGTAGAGTGTTTGCCTACCACTTAGGCAAGGCCCTGTGTTCATTCCGCAGCATGGAAAAAAATAAGTACTCAAAGAAATAAATGAAATTAATTTTCACAATTCAAAACATTACCATTTCAATACATAATCAATATTTTAAATGCATCCTATTTTAGTACCATCTTTAAAACCCAGTGTGTATTTTACATTAAAATACATAATGGTTTGGATTACATATTTCAAGGACTCAATAGCCATGTGTGGCTCATAGTACCCTCTCAGAGAAACGGAATTCAAATCTTAAACCAAAGGAGACTCTTAGGATAGAGACTTTCCAGATCCAAGTCTCCATCCTTAAAATGATCCCTATGCTTGGAAACATGCACAATGTGAACCCTTTGTTAAATGTTCACCATCATTTTCATTGTTGCTTTACAATGATCCAGGTTGTTTCCCAGGTCAGTAGTCACACCGGAATCTTTCTTCCCTTGGCACAAGCTCCTTTCTAGAAAGGCCACAGCCTAGATTGTGATATTGTCACCTGGCTGGGTCTGAGAGGTCCATGAGGATGAAATAAGGAACCTATCCTACCCTGTTAAAATAAATGTGCGTGTTTCCTGACTCCCACTGCAGGGGGCGGGGTTTACAGTGCGTCAGTAAAATAGACATAAGATGGGTTTATTCAACAGAGATATAGGATCCACTAGAGAGCAGAGTGTGAGTGCTTAGAGAAATGAGACATTATGAGCAGAGGTTGGGTACATTTAAAGGGATGTCTTCAAGATGGATTTTCTAGGATGTGTGTTCTTACTGTCAGGTTACAATCCAAGCCATCCGCATGTGTTTGAAGTTGAGATCTGCTTTCCACCAATATTGCTGCTTCCTGAGGATGAAAATGGCAGGGTAAGAAGAGCCCAACTTACAGGTTGTGTCTTTAAAATCTTTAGGAATTTTTTTTTTTTTTTTTTTTTTTTTTTTTTTTTAGTGAGTCTCCTGAAATTTAAAAAAAAAAAAAAATGGCTTGAGTAACTTCGGTGTCCTGAAGCTGCAGTTTTTCTTAAAAGTACATTTTTAAATCTCGATTTCCTTCTCCCTTTCTGTATTTCTTCTATCCTACCTCAACGTGAACTCTCCATTGTTCATTCCCCCCAGCCCCTGGTAACCACCATTATACTGTCTCTAAATTTGTGTACTCTAAGTATATATATAAATGAAAGCCTTTTATGAGCGGCTTATTTCACCGGTCTTCATATCCTCAAAGTTCATCCGCATTGTAGCCTGTAGAAGAGTGAGCTTCCTTTTTAAAGCTATGCGCTCCCCAGCTTCTTTATCCACTCATCAGTTGGTGGACACATGGTTGCGTCTACCTTTCGGCTACTGAGAATCATGCTGCTATAAACAAATACCTCTTCAAATCCCTGTTTTCAATTGTTTGGTGTTTGCTACCCAGAAGTGCAAATGATGAATGAATCATAAGGTAATTTTTTTTTAAGCACCAAGCTGTTTTCCAAGGGGGTTTCATCAGCAATTTAGAAGGGTTCCAATATCACCAATCATCACCAACACCTATTATTTTAGTTTTGGGGGTTTTGTTTGTTTTTATAATACATAGTTGTCTTAGTGGGTGTGGGATGGTAAGCTCTGAATTTTTGCACAATCCATTCTGTGGACTTTGAACTGTCACATGTTTCCTGCCGCTGGAAAAGTATAAGCTTAATTTTATTAGTGTTCCTTTGATCCTGGACGAGGGAGAACTTTCTCAAGATCTTAATTTCCCTATCCTGTGGGAAAAGCCAGCCTGACAGCCATTCTCCAACCCATTAGGTGAAGTTCAGTCCCAAATACATTTAAAGTAGAAATCTTTTTACACACGTGAGCTTCTTGAGTTTATTTACTTTTGACCTATTTCTCCGCAGCGAGGATCCTGGGGTCCTAGAGGCCAAAGAACCACAGAGATACCGGGACTCCGGAGTCCTAGAGAGGGCGCCTCAGCAGCCGGCTGGAGATGCACTTCCGGTCTTTGTTTGTCAGTGGCGACGGCGGCTTGCGGGGGTCACGGGCAGCACCCGTGGTAGCTCTGAGATCCCATCGCTAGGTGTCAGTCACCGAACAGAACGTGCCTGTTCTCTGCGAGAGCACGTCTCTCCTCCCGCCCCCCACACTTTTGACCTCTCCCTCCCTTTGTGCCCCCTATGCAGCGGGACGATTAAAGAGGTAAGGGCCCGCTGTTCGGCCGCCGGTTTCTGGTGTGCCTGGGGGCCGGCGTGGCTGCAGAGCTCAGGCCATTCCTGCTTGCTGCCTTCCATGGCCTTGCTGCTGCCTGTGGCAGCTCCTTTTAAAAAGGACCTTACAGAGGTCTGGGTTATTGAACTGGAAAACACGCGGGCCGCTCAGCTTTCCGTTGTCTCTTTATGTTTTATTTTGACATAGGATCTCGCTAAGGTGTCCAGGCTAGGCTCACACTTGCCATCCTCTTCCCTCACCTTCCAGAGCACTGCTTGCACCACCGCCTGGGTGATCAGTTTTAATTATTCTTCAATATGTATCTAATAACCCCAGTGTAGGGTTAGGTACAGGTACAAAGGAGATAGAATGGAACACTTGCAAGAGTACTGGCGTGTATTCTTGATACACTCCAAGATATAAGCGAGAAAGATGTAAGTAAAGTGCTGCTGCTCCGCGGGAATCCCAAAAGACTTCCCCAGAGTTGTGGGTGGCAGGAGGGGCAAGAATTGGATCTGCAGAAATGTTCTACTATACAAGAAAAAAACATTCATGTGTGACCGCAGATTCCTACCCCAGAGACTGTTAAATCTCGTCTGCTAAAAATAGCCAAACTGGGGCCGGGCATTTAGCTCAGTGGTTCCAGCTACTGCCTCACAAGCTCAAGGGCCCAAGTTCAATCCCCAGTACCAAAAAAAAAGGAGAGAGAGAGAGAGAGAGAGAACAAAACAAGAACACCTTTATATTTGAAGGCCATCCTTGTCAAAATGTGAAATCCTTAGCCGGGCGTGGTCACGCCTGTAATCCCAGCATTCGGGAGGCTGAGGCAGGAGGATCACTGTGAGTTGGAGACCAGCCTGGGCTACATAGTCAGTTCCAGGTCAGTCTCAATTACAGTCTCAAAAATAAATAAATAAATAAATAAGAAAAACAAAAGTTAAAAATAGCCAAACTGCTTTAAAAATAAAAATACATCTGGGTTTGTTTTCTAGAGTTGGCATACCAGAATGAGAGCTGACTACCATTTATTGACCAAATTACTTAATCATCCTGACCCTCAATTTTATCGTTTCTAAAGGAGGGATAATAATAGTACTTTTAATAGGAAGAAACGAATGAGGTTAATAACAGTAGGCTTTATCATTATTTAATAAATACTGGAATGTGATCATTTCCTTCCTATTATAGAGCCTCCTTTTATACACACTTGGCAAATGGGAAGAGAAAGAGGAGCCATAAATTCCAGAAAATGGTAAGAAAGATGTGTTTGGGAACTTGACATTAACCTCTCCATCCTCCCAGTATTTGGATGGGACATCTGCCTACTCTCTCTAATGCCCAACCAAGACTCTCATGAGCTCAAGGCTCATGGTAGATCTTTTTCTCCCCTATAAGAAGTTATTTGACCCATTTCACCTGTGAAGCATATTTCTCTGGAAGCTCCTTGCCCATTATTCAAAATAAGACCAAGATTGATATGCTTGGCACAGACTATGCAAAGCTATGTAATTTAGTAACCAGAATTTCAAGAAAAACTAATAATCCTAATTAAAATGTCAACAGTTAAAGAGACATTCAATTCCTAATAAGTAAAAGAATATCACCACATACAGAACTTTACCTTAAATACAAAAGGAGGCAGCTGGATGGTAAAACAGGAAAGGTCTGCTTATGAAGATAAGGAGAAATGAACATATACACAAAGATTGGGGCAACTGTGAAATAAGCCAGGGGTCCCCAAACCCCAGGCCATGGACAGGTAACTATCTCCACTCTGATGAATTCCTAGAGATTCAGAGTGGACAAGTCTCGAGTCTGAGTTAAAAACTCACCCGGCAGGAAGGTGGCTGTCCATGGCTTGTGAGGAACTAGGCCACACAACAGAAAGTAAGCAGAAGTTGAGCCACCCAAGTTTCATCTGTATTTACAGCCACTCCCCACCCTTCAAATCATTGCCTGAGTTCAGCCTTTTGCCAAATTAAATTCTCAAAGGAACACAAACCCTACTATGAACCACACAGGCAAGGAGACTAGATTTCTGTGTTCCTTATGAGAAAATAATTAATAAAGTGCACAATAAACCTGATGCATTAAAATCACCCCAAACCATTCCTCTCTCATTCCCCTATCCATGAAAAAACTGTCTTTCATAAAACAGGTCTCTGGTGCCAAAAAGGTTGGGGGCTGATGCAATAACCCTTTCCAAAATATAGCGTGTGACTACCTGCACTGAATTCAGCCATGTTGGTGGTCATTTCAGCTGGACTCAGCCATGTTGCTGTGCTCTGCTTTCAGGGACTGTGGCTTTGTGGCACAAAAAATGAGCATGTTGAGAAAGTTTGTGTGTGAAACAGCAGGACTTCGCATTACATGAAGACCATTGCTCTGCTGACCAGGTGTGCAATGGCCCTTTCACACTAGAGAAACACGTGTTCTAGCTAAACAAACTATCTAGTCATTGCTTCCTTTGGGTCCTTCTGTAACCCTTCCAGCTATGTTTTTTGCTTAAGAGACTATGCCATGGTTGTAAGTTTTGTTTCTATAACAGAGATGAGACTGAGACAGCAAACAGGAAGAAACGGGATACTGTGTGTGAGGTTGGGCCATATGTGATGCAGGCAGTGCATCAGTTACAAGCACCCAATTTACAGACATTCTGTAAGCATCATGGCCCGTTGCAACCCACTGCCTTCCCTCTCCAACCTCCCTGATCACCCTGTAATTCACCACCCTTGCAGGCTGTGACCAGAAATCCGGACTCAGACTCAAGGGAATGTCTGACCTGGCATCTCTTCCTTGAAACCCTGGCCCATGCCCTGAGGGATTCCAACTACTTGTCACCTGTCACTGCTCACCATTCAGCTCTTCCATCCAGGCCTTCTTCCACATGAGTGCACAAGGTTCCTCTTCATGTCCCTACCAGAAGCCTCTGTCTTTCCTCATTTACCTTAGGAATCTGATTGCCCTTTCTCTCACCCTCTGCCATTTGTGAACTTAAAAATAATCATCATGGTTAATTTGATCATCAACAATCCAGAGCTATAACTGCATCAAGCAAAGATGAAATCATAAGTATTGATGTGATTACTACAAACATCTTAAATCATTTAAAAGCCAGGATACCTCCTCATTCAGAACCCCACAGACATAAACTCTTAGATAATTCTCTGCTGTTTGAATCCTAGCATCCAAACTCTGAAACAGTTTTTCTAACGCAGTGTTACTGTTTGTCTTTTGTGCTTAATACAGCTGTATATCACAGATAACTATTTATGCAAGAGGTAATCAAAAATACGGTGAACGTTTAAATAAATATTACAGCAAAAGACACATTGCCCCCCAGAATACTCCTCCCTTTGAACACACTCATCCCATTGTTCTTGCCTCTTTCTGAAGCAGTCCTAAAAGTCCTCTTTCATTAGTATCTTCCTAAATTGTGATCCAAAGTTTGGTGGATGCCGCTGCCAAGTTCCATGCAATGAATAGGCAGCCTTGTCAAAACACTACTGTATGTCCTCACAACTTTATTCACCAGAGCTTTGGCTCTTTCCAGAGTCAAAATGACTATGAAAGGTAAGTGTTTCCAGTCAGTTCAGAGCATCAAAGTAGCCAGGACACACAAGTAAAAATACTCCTGAAGAAGGACTTCCAGAACTGCTTTAGAAAGCGGAAGGAACTGTGGGCTAAGTGTGTTGTGGAGGGGGATTAATGGCAATGTGTCCTTTACTCTAATAATTCTTTTTATTTAAATGCACACCTTTTTGTTCAATCATATCTTGTATTTTGTAGCTTACTCTTCCAGTGTTTCGATATTGTAAAATAATTTTCCTAATCATCCACATTTGCTAGCTCCTTACTGATGTTCTGAGGCAACACTTTTCATCACTCTGCATGGAAATCTTTCTAAAATGCATGACATTTTCCTGTGTATATGTAGTTTAATTTATTTTATTGATGCAGTCAACAGTATAAACATCCTTCGTACAGTAAGGTCCTCGTGACTGCAACATGAAATACTCTCCCTGTACCTTTCATTTGAAAGAAAAAATAAGCAAAATCTTCAGATACTCAAGTAATCTGCCCAAGTGAAAATGAATCCTTGGGCTAGAGACATAGCCACAGAATACATGTTTAGCATGCACAAGACCTTGAGTTCAATCCCTAGCACCACAAGAAAAATCCTGCTTTTATGTCAATGATTACAATTATTTGTAGAGTTTTTAATTTGAAGTTATTTCTGAGAGACTCAGGAAGTCTGAATTTGAATAAAATGCCATCCTTGGAAAATTCTTTCCATGGCCATTTTTAAAACAAATGTCTATTTTCCAATGTCGACAGAAGAGCAGGAAGGATTTTTTGCTGTTGTTGCTGTTGTTGCTGTTGTTGCTGTTGTTGTTGTTGTTGTTGTTGTTGTTGTTGTTGTTTGTTGTTTTAATGGTAGATTTTAGATACACATTCGTCATATGGAATTTGTACCTGTACATGATATATCTTGCTTCTTTCTTGCCCATTCTCCTCCCCTCCCTTCATCCCCTCTTCCCCTCCTTTGTTTCCATTTTTTTCTTCTCCCTTCTTTCCTTTCTCCCTTCTCCCTCCCTTGTTCCCATTCTCATTTGAACCTTTTCTTCCCATTTCCCAATATCTTTTATGCATGTCGGTCCTTATTTACACTTTTGGTTTCTCACTCTAGAGAAACAATGCAGTATTTAAACACGTGTCTGATTTATTTCACTTAAGAGTATGTTCTCAAGGTGCATCCATGTAGCTAGAAATGTCTCAAGCTTATACTTTTTATAGCAGAGTAGTACTCCATTGCAAAAAAGAATGTTTATTTATGCATCGGTTGATGAGCATTTGAGAAGAAGCCTTCTTAAAAGCAAACAAATTCTTTGCCTTCATCCTAGTCCTTATTACTCAAACCTTATTGCAGACAGCTCTTTCTTATTTATGTAGTAAATTTACTTACAAAGAACAAATGATTTGCAGACATTTGTTTTCCAATTTTTGTTTTGTTTTATTTTGTTTTTGAGACCGGGTCTCACTCTGTAGTTGAGACTGCCCTGGAACTCACTATGTAGCCCAGGCTGGTCTCAAACTCACAGTGATCCTCCTGCCTCAGCCTCCTGAGTGCTGGGATTACAGGCGTGCACCACCACTCCCAGCTCTGATTTCCTTTTCACTAAAAGTTATAAAACCTTCATTTCATGTTTCCGTTCTGTCCACAGTCAACACTTTTCCCTCCTGGTCTCACTCAGGGAAGCAAAATGTCTTCTTCCTGGAAGCAGGCCTGTAATCATAGCCTATCCTGCTTCTGGGAAAGTTGGACTGTGTTTTAGTTTGGTTTTTTTTGCTTCTGTAACAAAATACTTGAGGCAGGCTAATGTATAAAGAATAGAAATGTATTTGGCTTATAATTCTGGAGACTGGGAAGTCCAAGACAATAGTGGAGCCAACATGTAACCCCAGAAAGCATGGATATTGCAAGTTTTAGCCTGGGCAACTCGGCAGCTTAGCAAGGACTTGTCTCAAAATAAGAAATAAGAAAAGGTGGACTTGGCAACATAGTACAATGCAAAGATCCTGTGTTCAATCGCTAGTACCACCAGAAAAGAAGCAAGGAAGAAGAAGGGGAGGGATAAGGAAAATGAGGAGAGGAAGCAGAAGGAAGAGGAAGAGTGAGGGGGAGGAAGGAGGAGAAAAGATAAAGGAGAAGATGGGGAAAGGAAAGGAAGATTTGGTGAGAAAGCACATATGAAAATACTGTGTACAGTGTAAAGCCTGAACATGATTAATAGTAGTCACAAAGTGTGAGGCACCTAGTTGGAACTAGGAATGCTATTGGATGCCTTATAGCCATGATTTTATTACTTTTAAAACTAAAAGCAACTCTGCTAGGCTGGAAATATGCCACCCAGTACCTCAAGGGAAACATTGATGTTTAAATAGCTGCCAAAGTTCTACAGCTACAAAGTAGCAAAGACACATGAGTTTGGCCTCAAATCTCAGGCTCTTGTCACTAAAACCTTTCTCCAGATCTAGACTCTTAGTCTCCCGCCATCCAAATGAAGGCAAAAGCAATGTTTAACATTTTTGAGCAACAGAAGATGGGTTGACAGAAATAAATAATCTACTTCTTCAACACACTTGGCTAAGTACTCAGATCCTCACAACCTTAGAACAGAGTATGGGCAATCTGGAAAACCTATGGGCTCCATACATTTTTAGTAGTTCAGCTGCTTAATTTGAAAGAGAAAATTTGAGGTGTTTTTTTAAGAAAAGTGAATATAGATGGTTTTCTGATTTCTGCATCTGCAAATTCAATGAAACACAGATTGAAAATATTCAGAAAAACAGTGTCTGAATACAGACTTGTTTCATTTTTCCTTAAATAATTCAGTATAACAACGATTTACATAGCTTTTCCATTGTGTTAGGTATTATAACTAATCTAGAAATTTTCCGACGTATACAGCAGGATGTCTGTAGGTTGTAATAGAATCCTTGAATTCACACCTATGCATAAGACACTGACTCTGCTCAAACAGCTGGGCTGTCCATTCACATGAGGCTGACCAGAAAGCTCTGGGTGTGGGCAGGCTTTGTCCACCATAAACTTCCTTGAGATGATCTGTCGGGAATTGAGCTCCCAGCTGCCAGAATCTGTAGATCTTGACTCTTGGTCAGTTTCTCCTACAGAAAATCCCCCTGACTCCTTCCTGGGGGTCCACACCTTGTTGCCACTCTGAGTGTCAATGGAGGAGAGGACTTGACCCTTGAAGGTGAAAGTATTGCAGCAGGGAAGCCCATCTACATTAGTCTGAGATCCCACACTCAAGATAGTCCCCAGACCCCACTGGACTGGGAGATCCCAGCACAGAAGATGTGAGTACTATTCAGAAAACAAGGGGATCACATAAACATTCGCCCTAGCCCTGCCTAGATGTTTGTTTGTTCATAGAACAGGACATGGCAATCCTTTTCTATAAAGGTCCAGATGGAGACTATTGTAGGATTTGCAGGCACATGACTGATGTCCTAAGTACTCAGCTCTACCACTGTAGCACAAAAGCAACCACTGATAATAGGCAAATGCAAAAGGACAGCTGTGTTCCCAAAGAAGTTCATTTATAGATGCTAAATTGAATATTATATCATTTTCACATGTGAACAATTCTTCTTTTAATTTTTTTAACTTTTAATTTTTTCAACTGTTTAAAGATGTAAAATTCTTAGATCATTGGCTGTTCAAAAATAGGTGGCAAGCTGCAATGGCCCAAGGGGAAGTAGTTTATCAGTGCTTTTCCTGGGATATTTTGCAGCGTTTATTGTCTTTCTCGCGGGAGGGGGGGCATTCAGACAGGGTCTCACTATGCAGTTGAGACTGACCTGGAACTCACTATGTAGCCCAGACTGATCTCAAACTCACAGTGATCCTCCTGCCTCAGCCTCCCAAGTGCTGGAATAAGAGTTTATTGTCAAAGGCCTCAGAATCTTTCTGAGCTTTCCAGCAAGGCCTCCAAGCACTTTTTTGTTTTGTCTGTAGGTAGAAGGGTTACTGGTTTTTCCTCCCTTATGCAGCCTCCTCCATGTACTGTGGAAATTTAAGACATTTATGAATTGCCTTGGAATGGAAAAGTTGGTAAAAGCAATTCCGAGAGTTCCTGCCAAGTTCTACACTGGATAGAACAAGCTGTTGATTGTTCCCTTTCCCTGGATTTTAACCAAGGTGACAAATGAGTCCAGTGGGAGGAGACGTGAAAAGGGGAACCTCTGAGATAGAGTTTTGATTCCTAACCTTAAGCTTATCCAGTCAAGGCCTCTGTCTCCAGAAAAAAAAAAAAAAAA